TAACACTTCACCGCTGCATGCAACAATGTTATTTACAGCGATCATTGGGAGCCTCAAACTGTTTTAGATATTTTCTAATCAACATGTTTAGGGATGATATTACACCCCTCTGGAGCAGGTGGACCTTGAACTCAGGCCACCAAGCTCAGAGGTAGAGATACTACCACTACACAAAAAGAACCCCTCGCTGATTCACAGAATTTTAAAAAAAAATCAGAGATGTTATAACACACCACGAGAGAACGTAGGACTGAACACAAGCCTTCCGGTCCAGAGGTAGGGATACCACCCCTGCGCCACAAGAGCCCATAATTCATATGGACATACATGCTGTCATACAACACAGCTGTCCTGACCAGTAAGATTTCAGAGACCATTATCAGTTTGAACTAAATTTCACTGAGAAGGCATCAGGCCCCTTTCAAGTGACCACAGCCCTTCAAAAGGTTTGGCCACTACACAATCGACTCATGTTCACCTGTGTCCATTGTTTGAGGACAGGATCAAATTCAACTGAGATGGTGCCAAGCACTCACCAATCCCCGCTCCTATCAGATACCTTCTGCTTCTACTGCCCATTTTCATATCACCAACTTGCTGTCCCCACTAACTCCACTCAGTTTTTTTCCTTCTTTCCCTGTATCAGTGTTGGTATCCCCACCCCCCACCACTTTGTGGTTCCACTCCTCTTTCATTTTCACTGACGTTTCCCACAGCCGACTGCCCTCTGAGCTTCCAAGTCACCATCTACTTCCTATTTAACAAGTAGCCATGGCTGTGTCTTGAGGAGACGATGGTAGACATGAATAGGAAAGGTTGAGGGGTATGGGCCAGGAACAGGCAGTTTGGATTAGTTTAGTTTGGGATTATGTTCGGCTTGGACTGGTTGGACCGAAAGGTCTATTTCCATGCTGAATGACTCTATGACAACTGGTAATATAAAAGATAAGCAATCACTCCATAATGCACCATGTAAAAAGAGATGGTTGTTGAAATGCCAAGTGATTCCATCCTGCTGCTAAAAGCAGGAGAAACTGGGCAAAGATAATGAAAATCAAAACAAAAATTTCAGAAACGTGTTAGTTGCGTGCATCGATTGGTGATAATGTCATTACACTCCAGCTGAAATTGAAAACACTGATGACTATCATCAATCACCCCAGCTCCTAACACTCCAAAATAATTTCCACACACCAGTAGGTCAGCTCAGCTGCCTGATTATTAATGGTACCATTGTACATAAAGCAATAAACAAGCACTGGGAATACAAGGCCAATTTTAATGACAATTTCTTCTCAGGACAACAATAATAACTATAATAACTGTAAATTAAATTGCCTTTGTGGCTTTCAGCTTCTTCTGCACTATTATTTATTGCAGACATGAAGTTTATGGATAAGCAAATAATTATTTCTTGGTGAAAGCCACTGTTGGGACGTAGGTAATGGCTGTAATAGAATCTTATCTAGAGATGTGAATGTTCTGTTGCATAACATCGTAGGATTATACAGCACTAGGCCTTTTGGGCCATTGTGACTTCACTCGGTCTCTCCTTCTCTCTGAGAGACCCATTCAATTAGTTCCACTCCTCTGCTCTTTCTCACAGCCCGGAAATAATTTCAGTTTCAAGTGGTCTTCCAATTCCTTTTGAATAATAATAATATTCAAACCTGCTTGCACCATCCTTCCAGGTACATCATTCCAGATCATCATAACTCATGGAGTAAAAGAGAAACATTTTTCTTGCTCAATTATTCAAGTCACTCCTTAGCCTTCCTTGCTTTGAAGAGGTCAACCTTTAGTTCCTCTCCCTCAATGTCAACAGGACATTCTATGTCATATACAACAGCACAATGGAAACTCTTAAAATGTCCTGACATTAACCTATTCCGTATTCTTGTATTTCCTGAAGGGCACACACTCAAGGACATTTGGGCTGAATGGCGTAAATTCAATGCAATTACATGATGCTACTGCCTTGCACAAGTCTCTCACCTTGATTCAATATTGTGCTGGAATGGGAGGGCCTGGATAAGAGTTGTCCAGGGAATTAACCACACTCTCCTTCCACCACTGCAGCCCACTTGACAAATACACTGTGCTCTTGTCAAGACCTTTGAAATGTAGACATTTGCTGACAACAATGCCCAGGATCCAAGATCTTTCCAATCTAATAACCTTAGTGGAGTTATTCCAGCCAAAACAACTTATTTTGCAGGTTTGATGCACCATACAGTGATGATGGAAGATTATCACAGAGTCAACTGATGGGTCAATGTCATTGGAATGAAAGGTCTCATGATCGCACCAAGTTTTTGACAAATTATCGACATCAATGGAAGAACAGAAAAGCCAAAGAACTGCGCATGCTGGAAATCAGAAACAAAAACAGAAATTGCTGGGAAACTCAGCAGAGAGAAAGCAGAGTTAACATTGCTGAAGTCCAGTGGATCTTCTTCAGAATAAGATGATCAATGGAAGAATGTTTGGTTATGAGGTGGTGGTGGTAACATCACTGGACACAGCAATCTACAGCCTCAGGCAAATGTTCTGGAAACACGAGTTTGAATCAGATGGCGAACTTTTATTTCAACAAAAATCTGGGCTTGGAAACCAGTTTCGTGGCAATCGCATAACCACTGTTGGTTGTTGTACAAACCCATCTGGTTCACAGATGCCCTTTAGGGAAGGAAATCTTCACCATTACCCTGGTCTGGACTAAATGTGACTCCAGACCCACAGCAATTCTAAACTACCCTTCAGGTAACTAAACATTGGCAATAACTGGTGGCTAGCTAGTAGCAACCACATCGAACAACAAACAGGACAAACAGATCATGTGTGAGGGAGGGAGACAAGTGAACCAGAACAGACAATAGGATGGGAAGAATAATGAATACTGGCAGAGATAGCAGTAGAACAATTCTCTAGCATGGTCCCATGCTGTGGTTGTGTTTCATGAGCGCACATTCCTTTTGCTACCTCAGCAAAATTTCACAAGGGGTTTCACAGGAACATTATCGCAGTTCCAGAGCCTGGCATCTCAGCAGCCTGAGTGAACGATCATCAACAATGGAGATGCTCAACATCCAAAGTTATCGGAGTCCAAAGGGCTGTGGGTCTTACATGAGATTACAAAGATTTTTATTTGGGTGGATGGAGCGGACGTGAAGACAATTGAAAACGCAGATGATTTAAAAAAATGATTAAGTACCAAGGGCGACTTAAATTGGAGCCAATGTAAGTCAGTGGGTATCGGAGCGAAAGGTGAATAGGATTTGATTTCTTTGAGGAGTTCAAGCTTATGGAGGATATGCTGGGAGGAGACTGGAAATGTATTGAAATAGTTAAATCTGGAACCCAAAAAAAGGCATGAATGAGAATTTCAGTGATAAGATGAAGCAAGTTCAGAGAAGGTCAATGTTCGAGAAATGGAGAGAGGCAGTATTAGCGATAGTGTGGTCTGATTCAGGAGGGTCTTGTGCTTCCTTGACATCAACAAGCACTTTTATATCTGTATGTCTATGTATATAAAAGTATTCTAACTGGAATCAACTAGCATATCAACTGTTGCTGTGGTTGAGATCAGCAATCTCCACAGAGGTCAATTTTCATCTGAGGGTCTGCTGGTCCAAATGAATTAGTGTTAAAACTTGAGACTTCCTGGTCTTTGGGTTTGGCATGGGTTAGTGCTACAACTCAGGGTTACACAATCTAGAATCATGGAATGTTTACTGCACAGGAGGCTGTCTGGTCAGTCATGTCAGAGGCGGCTCATCACTGGAGTGACTCAGCTGAATTGGGCAGTGCTATTTCAGACAATATTTGTACCCATCAGGCCCACTACTGTGTCTTAGTTACCAAAGCATAAAGTGTCGATTAATCCACGCTTACTTCCATTTAACAAATGGCAACCTTAAGTGAAATCTTCCTGCTCAAATTACCATTGTATTATGTGAAGAAAACTGGAAAGCTGTCCAAATATTTTGATACATATATGAAAAACAAGATCAAGTGAAATACATTTACAGTTCTGTACACCAGGATGAAAACAGTGAAAACAAACATGACAGATCTGTCCGTACCTGAAAATGCACGTTCAACATATTCACAAATAAGGTCACCTCTTTTTTTATTATCTTTCTGTGGTCTTTGCTGGCTAGGCCAATATTTATTGCCCATTCCTAACTGCCCGAGAGAGACAGTGGTAACAAGATCCCGTCCTGGCTACTGTGGCAGAGAATTGGATTTTAATGCTCACTAATTACTCCACATGCTACCACTGCTTCTTGTAACCAGAGAACCCAGAAGACTGGTCCCTTATCAGAGTGGAGTGTATTACTGGCAAGTTCAGGGCAGACAGCACAACAAGAACAGGAAGAAGCAAGGCAATTCAATCTGTTAAAGAGCTGCAGTAGCACAAGACCCTGAATTCTAGACTTAAACTTCAGGATACATAGTAACTTGACATGTTTAGTAACTGGTGAAAAGTCTCACCTGCAGTTAGCACTGCACTTATTTGCCATTTTGTCTAGGTTCTATCTTTCTTCTCTGAATGTCTGTACATTTATGAACATATCAGTGTGCTCACATACCATACAAAAGATAGCAAATACACATATAAAATTGAAATTAAAAGCAGCCTGTGAGCCTACAATCCCAACCTTGACCGCAGCTTAATCTTTCGGCTCCCCACTCTCATCCATCTTCATTTCTTCCATTGATATCTTCTACTAAGTGAACTATATTGTTATTAGTCTCAGTGTAAAAGTGTTTGAATATTTTCACAAAAAAAATCTCTGGTCAAGAAATACTGTTGATCTAATGATGGCACCTGCTCAGTGTGAGAATTAAGTAAATGACTACAGGTGTACACTGTTTACACGTAGACACAACACATACAATGTGGATATCGTGTATAAACTGTAGATAGATCTAGGCATTGCACTGTGTACAGTATAAGCCTTATAGATGAGAGGATTATTGAAGTTGCTCTTTACCTATGGCACTGAGGGCATGTCGGAGTTCCAGAGTGAAGGCAGTAATGGGAACATCCTCAGAAACAGGAAGAATGGCCACAGTAGCGAGATTACTGGCAGGATTTCCCACTGATTCCAATTTGTTGCTCAGTGTGTGGATTCCCAAGCCACGACCTTACACAGAAAAAATAACAGTTTACTGGAGTTAGCTAATGCGATGACAAGCAAATACGTTAGCACGATTCAGCTGCCTCTGACATACCTACAGTGCGCTGGAATTTTTGCCACCATCAAGGTACAAAAGCAGCACCATCCAAACTTAGACCTTCCTGAATGTTGTACAATCCAGCACTCTACTGGCTTTCTAAAGGTTCTGTCCTACTGAATTGAAGTTGTGTGGGAGTAGCAGCCCTCTGCAATCTCAAGTGACTGCACTACAATAGTGTGACAATGCTGTCACAGTAAAAAGGTTATTTTCTCCTGGCTTTTTTTTGGAGAGGATGTAAAGGTAGAGGTTCTGAAGAGTCTAGGCAGCCAGAAAGCTAAAACAGTTTAAACAATGGAAGGGGAGTTGCCAGTTCTCCCAGTTCAGGGTTTTCTAGTTTTTTTTGGCTGTGGCAGTTACAAGATGTTTTGAGTACCAGAAGGGCTGCAAGCTTCAGGAAAGGATTCCTAACAGACTTTCTATGAAATCTCTCTGGATGTTGTTCCCTCCTGCCTGTAAGAATCTGTTTGTATTTACCTTTTTGCCAAGGAGGGCGTTTATGGCATGTTGCTATGCTGGTTAAGCTGTTGTATCGGGTCGGTTAAGTTTTCCAATAGTTAAGTTATTCTAAATGCCACTTTCTTTTGTTTGTGGTTCAACTGTAGTGTTTAAAAATAAATTCTGTTTTGCTTAAAGCCGAGTGGTTTGACCAGTTGCAACATACCTGGAACACCTACTTCACACCCACACCTTTAAAATAAGAAAAAGTTAGGGCCTAGGCTACCTCCTTAAAATATTTTGAGAGGATCTGGTCTGGTCCATAACAACACTGATCTCACACAACACTATCCAGCAGTTGAATAGTGGATGGAATTTCTTCTCTCTGTCCCAAAAGATACTGTCGTGTTTCTATCGGTGTCACCAGCAAAAAAACCAGGATGTGCTGCATGTGACTCAGTGTTGCAGCAGGCAGTGTCTTTATCCACTAGGCCATTAAGGAAGTTTAATATAACAATCTTAGAGCATTATTAAGATTGACACAACTCTACAGAGATATTGGTTGCAGAGCAATAGAAAATCTTTAGTCATATATCGGATTTAGCCAGGAAACAGTCAAGAATCCTGATATTTTAAAATTTCTGAATCACAGATATTTTATTGGAGAGAGGAGGGAGAGGGAGAGCTCTTTTTCCTTGCAAACCCATCTAGCACCAGCCACATCTAAATATGAATTGTAAAAACCATAGCAATTCAGTTCAGAGGCTGCTGCTAGGCCATGATCAGCACAGATCCTTACGGTTTTTCCAACACTGTTTGTCCAACAATTAAAGCAGTAAAACCCATCTTTTACCACCCACTTAAAAGCTTCAGCTTGTATTTTTCACAATGTCATTGATGTTTGTAGATAGCAGGCAGTTCCCGGTTCTCTATGACCTTTTGACTTTTTAATTCCAGGAAATCACATGGTAAACCCTTTGCGACCCAGAATTGTCAAAACCTTCCATTTTCCAATTCTCATAATGCAGAATTATGAATGTGTCCCTAACACTAAATAATCCCCAGTGTGCAAATAAATATGCTGACAACCAATTAAAGTTAGGCTCGCAGTGTGGTGCAGTTGCACCTGGGTTACAGGTATCAATATACAGGACTTTGAAGAAAGAACATGCGCATAAACTGAGCCTGTTTCAACTGAACAAAACAGATGATAAGGTCAGAAGTCACACGACACCAGGTTATAGTCCAATAGGTTTATTTGAAATCACAACCTTTTGGAGCATTACCCCTTTGTCAGGTAGAGTGAAGAACAGCATACAGGCACAGAATTTATAGGCAGAGAGATCAAAAAGGTCGTGGTAAGTGAAGGGGATGACTATAATCCAATTATTTGAGGCAGAGAGATAATTACAAAAATTTAAAAATAAGGTGGGGTTGGAGACAAACCAAACAGCTGGGATAACATGACAGATAGAAGAGTCGCATGTCGAGGGTCTAACCAAAGTAACAAGTAATCCAAAACTGTACAAAGTAATTAAGGTGGAGAGATCATAACAATTTATCAAGGTGATGGCATTAAAACAGGAGAGTAAGGAAGATTTTACAGATACAGAACAGTATGGTGGGCCACCTGTAGTGTGACATGAACCCAAGATCATGGTTGAGGCCATCTTCATGAGTACAGAACATCTTCATGAGTACAGAGCTTGACTATCAGTCTCTGCTCGGTGATTCTGCGTTGTTATGCATCTCAAAGGCCGCCTTGGAGGACGCTTACCTGAAGATTGGAGGCTGAATGTCCTTGACCGCTGCAGTCTTCCCTGACTGGGAGGGAATATTCCTGTCTGGCACGGTGGCAATTCATCCATTGTTGTAGCATCTGCACGGTCTCACCAATATACCATGTTCGAGGCATCCTTGCCTGCACCATATGAGGTAGACAACATTGGCCAAGTCATGACTATCTGCCGTGTACATGGTGGGTGGTGTGATGGTAGTGTCCATGTCAATGATCTGACGCCCTGCAGAGGTTGCCATGGCAAGGTTTTATGGTGTTGTGGTCGATGTTGTCCTGAAGGCTGGGCAGTTTGCTGCGAACAATGGTCTGTTTAAGGTTTGGTGATTGTTTGAAGGTAAGAAGTGGAGGTGTAGGGAAGATCTTGGCGAGATGCTCATCGTCATTGATGACATGTTGAAGGCTGCAAACAACATGGCGTAGTCTCTCTGCTCCGGGGAAGTACTGGACGACGAAGGGTATTCTTTCAGACATCATGTCCTGTGTCTGTCTTCTGAGGAGGTTGTTGCAGTTTTTCCACTGTGGCAGGCTGGAACTGGCGATCAGAAGTGTTAAGCATCATATCCCGTTCGTATGAGGGCATCTTTCAGCATTTTAGGTATCCGTCATGTTCCTCCTCATCTGAGCAGAGCCTGTGTATGTGCAGGGCTCGTCCGTAGGGGATGGTTTCTTTAACATGTTTACGGTGGAAGCTAGAGAAGTGCAGCATCGTGAGGTTATCCTTGGGCTTGTGGTAGGCAGAGGTACTGAGGTGTCTGCCCTTGATGGAGATGCATGTCCAAGAATGAGACTGATTCTGAAGAGCAGTCCACGGTAAGCCTGATGGTGGGATGAAACTTTGATATCATTGTATCCACAAGTCCAGAGGAAGAAAATGTCAATGTATCTGGTGCATAGCGTTGGTTGGAGGTCCTGCTTAACAAAGAAGTCTTGCTCAAACTTGTGCACGAAAATGTTGGTATATTGGCTGTTCCATGCCTGTATGCTTTTCTTCACTTCACCTCACCTGATGAAGGGGCAGCACTCCAAAAGCTTATGATTTCAAAGAAACCTGTTGGACTATATAACCTGGTGTTATGCGACTTCTGACCTTGCCCACCCTAGTCCAACACTGGCACCTCCACATCAAAACATATGATGGTCATTCGCCGGTTAATTCCTCAGGGCATTGCCTGGATCAGAGTTTATTTGCTTTGTTTAAATTTAAACAAAGCTTGGCAGTTAGCTATCACCATCTAACTGGTGCACTCTCCATGGCAACATCTCTACAAATCTACCACTTGCCCACCAATCAGCGTGTTCTGCCCATACAGTGTAAAGATGTTGTTCCCCTTTACATTGGCACTTTTGCAAATCTGACTGCAAGACAAAAGGCCTCCACCAAATGTGCTTTTATTTTTAGCATTACTCGAGTTCCATACCAACAAATGACTAAAAGAAAGTACATTTACAATTTGAGGAAGAAAACCTATTATTTTATATATTCTTAAAATAACGAAGGTTAATAGTTTCATTTCTCTTATAAGTATAATTTCAATTGGGTACAGAACTATTCCCCTCCTTCACTTCTCAAAGCCTGAGAGAGAAAAGAGCTCAACTTGTAGTTACTGCTCATATAATACAATGGTATGAAGAAGATACGAGTGTTGTTAAAGCTATTACCTGTTAATGGGCCGCTGACTTGCTGCAAGTTACCAAGGATCTTTTGGCCAAGTAGGTGAATGAGTCGAGTAACCACCTAAAACAAAGTAACACCAATTCACATGTGTTCATACTTGTAATTCTGAAATCAATTAATTAAAATATAGCAATTTCAGCAACAATTGTTATTTGTAAAAAGTAACTTTAACAAAGAAGAATGCCACAAGATGCACTTTCAAACAGAATTTAACATCAAACTACATATGTAGTTATTCAATTTTGTGACCAGTGCCTTTGTCAAACAGGTAGTTCTAAGAAGTATTATAAAGTAACAAAGAGGATAGCAACATGAAAATAGCCAAGGACGGACTTTTAGAGTTTAGCATCTAGGTAAAGGAAGGGTTGAAAATCATTAGGACTACAATTAAAATCTTAAATAGACCAGAAGTTTCAATAACAAAAACATAAATTGCTGGAAAGGCTCTGCAGGTCTAGCGGCATCTGTGGATTGAAATCAGAATTAACATTTCAGGTCCAGTAATCCATCCTCAGAACTGATGATAGCTAGGAAAGAGTTGGTTTTTATACAGAAGATAGGGTGCAGGGAGGGGGTAAAGTGTAAATGATAGGTGGAGAGCCCAAAGAGAAGAAGAACAGTTAGACAAACAAAGAAGCAGATAACAGTCAGCCTAGGAGAATAAACAGCCATTAATGGGGACTATTAGTGGCTAACAATGGGTTGCGTGTAATAGCAGACCATGTGCATGGGGGTTGGAGTAAGGACATGGGAGAAGGTGTCTCATGCGCTAAAACTGTTGAACTCTATAGAGTCCAGAAGGTTGTAGAGTTCCCAAGTGGAAAAGGAGGTGTTCTTCCAGCTTGCGCTGAGCTTCACTGGCGCACTGCAGCAAGCCTGAGACAGAGCTGTTAGCCAGGGAACAGGGTGGTGTGTTGAAGAGGCAGGCAACTGGAAGCTCAGGGACTTTTTTGCGGATGGAACATCAGTGTTCTGCAAACAGTCACCTGTCTATGCTTCATTTACCCAATGTAGAGGAGACTACATTGTGAGCAGCAGATTAGAGGGAGTGAAGTGCAGGTAAAGTGTCACATCACCTGGAAGGTATGTAAATCTATAGCTCACGACTGAAGCACTCCTGGAACTTTTCTTTCTAAAAGATGTTTGCACAAGCAGATGAAACATACTTATGCAATAGTCACAGTGACAGTGACCTTACAAAGACAATTATGCTCTTACATATAGAGGGGTAGAACAAACTGGCAATCCCCTCAACCTGAGTTCGCTGCAGTCACAGAGACCTGAGAATGCACAATCCTGCAGCACAGCAGTCAAACGTTAATTTATTCCAGACTCATGATTCACTTAAAACTCTGAAGACTGCTGCTCCCTTTCAGTCAACAATGTGGCTAGTGCGATGCACACAAGTCAAACAGAATCTTTATGCATAACAAACAAAACTATCATTGGGGAAGTATTTTAAAAAGCTCTATGCTGCCAAAAAGAAAGGATGACATGCTAAACATAAATATAATTGATACATAAATTCACAGGAATTGCTGTTGTTGCTGGTGTGCTGTTCTGTGTCTCAAATATTTTGCTCAGTATATACTATCACTGACACTCAATGTTAGGAACAATTTTAACAACTGCTGGCTTCTGTTAACAAAGTGCAAAAGTACAAACTTTGCCAGCTATCAACATTATACCTTGCAGAGGGAAAGCAGACGCCAACTCTCCGACACCTCCTCCTACTGCCCCCTTGATCATGACCCCACCCCTGACCACCAAACCATCATCTCCCAAACCATCCACAACCTCATCACCTCAGGTGACCTCCCACCCACGGCCTCCAACCTCACCGTTCCCCAACCTCGCACCGCCCGCTTCTATCTCCTTCCCAAAATCCACAAACCTGACTGCCCTGGTCGACCCATTGTCTCCGCCTGCTCCTGCCCCACCGAACTGATCTCCACCTATCTGGACTCCATTTTCTCCCCCTTGGTCCAGGAACTCCCTACCTATGTCCGTGACACCACCCACGCCCTCCACC